GAAGCGCGTTGCGGCGGTCTTCAGCCGAGACCAAGGGGGTGAACAATGGCGGATCATTCTTGGTTAGAGCCATCTCACTAGCGACGTTGTATACCTCTGGAAAGTGTCCTTGCAGCGGCCAGTCGCTGTAGTGCAACAGAAAAGGGTCTCGATCATCATAAGGTAGAGGGTCAACACTCATCACCGCAGCCGAAGAACCTGGACTCCACGAAGGGGTCACCGATGACCGCAACGCCGAAGAAGCTACAGCACGCGAAACAGCAGACGAACTCCGAGCATTCGTGGAAGACACCGAAAAAAAATCGTCACCATGTACCGCCGGCGTGTGCGCGAATGCCCGCTTGTCCAACACATCCCACATATCGTCCAAACACGAAGCATGTCGCCCAAAAGGGGCTTCCATGGAGAGCTGCTCATCCTTGTACACCTGTCCAGACACTACGGGAAACTGCTTCAACATGGAGTCTCGAACAGCTATCTGCACTTGTGCATCCGAAGGCTTGAACGCGTGATGAGAAACCATGACAGTCATGGCCAGAGCCTTATAGCGACGAATGTATTCTCCGTACGTCTCGCCGGTGGACACGCCAAAACTACGAAGGCGATCGATCCCCGAGCTCTTGTCTTGAGTGTCCCAGGCGGCCGCCAATTTCTGGATAAAGAACGCGTACGTCGAGGGCCCGGCCGGTTCCTTGCGCAGATGGTTTTCTACCTGTTGGAAAGTGGCATCAAGAAATTCCAGCGTGGCACGGTTGGTGGTTTGACCTTCAACGACAGCAGCACGAACACGTTTGCGCAACAACGGAAGCCATCCTGCGACCCAGGTGGAGGAAGCGAAAGTCTGCTTGCGTTTGACGTCGCTTTTGTTGAGGATCTCGGTGACCACGCCCTTGCAGCTAGACGCGAAACGAGCAAATTCATCAGGATCAGAACCAAGGGGCAAGCGTGTGACACTATCAAGTTGTTCCGGCTTCAGCTTGTCCATCTTGTCTTGAATGCGGATGGTGTCGGCCTCCGCTGCAGCGGCGTCCGCAGCGTCCAAAGCCTCCTGCCTCGTCCTCGCCCCCGTGGAAGACAAAGGCAAGCTAGCATCATCCTGAGGCAACGGCGATGTCGCGTTGGCCGGTGACGCCATGACGTGGCCGGTCGCCGGGCGAGGATCGATCAGGATAGACGTACGCGGGAGGGGGGGGGGCACCACCAAAGGCTGTTGTAGCAGAGCTGGGGCGGTCGACGCTGATGACACCACCAAAGGCTGTTGCGGCAGAGCTGGGGCGGCCGGCGCTGATGACGATGACACTGCCGTGGCCCTGGCAGCTGCCTCATCGTGAACCTCGTACCCTGAACGAACTCCCGAGGAACTCGAAGCGTGGTCTTGCAATGGTGCCAAATGCGCCCGTGACGAAAAGGGTGGGGCAGAAGGTGGCATGCTAGGGGCGTTCGAGGGCACAGAAGGTGGTACATTCGAGTCGGCAGCAGCATCCACAACTTGGCCAGGCGTTTGCGCGCGCAGGAGAGTGAGCACTTGTTCCAACAGCATTTCAGTACGGGAAGCCGAAGTCGAGGCTTGTGATGCAGCATTGCGTGGTGAACCAACACGTTCGTCCAAAAGCAAGGAAGATGTGGGCTGATCTACCACGGTGTGTGTAGGGGCATGGCTTTTAACCGCGGCGGAATGTTCACGAAGTTGCATGTTGGCAAGTTTGAACGCCAAAGTAGACACGGGCGGCGGTCCTACATCAGCGGGGGGGAGCAAAACCGGTGGCGAAGAACAGAGTGAACCATCTTCTGAGGCAGTCTTACGTTCCCCCAACAGCCCAGAACTACGAAAATCACACCGATCATACTGCACTTGCCTGCGACCCCGACCTGACTTCCGTCGCCCTTTGCCCCCTCGACCGCTGTCCGAGCTGGTCGCCCTGCCGTTGCCCCCGCTCCTCGTCGGGCTCCGGCTGCGGCTACGCCTACGCGAAGGCGTGTTGCTCCCGCGGCGGTCGCTGCTCCGGCTGCGACCACGCCGAGACGAAGGTGCGTGACGTGGCTGGCGGTCGGTGCTCCGGCTCCGGCTCCGGCTCTCGCGGTGTCGACGCTTGGACGAAGATTCCGCGTACCCCCGCCCGCCATCTTCAACACCCGGCCCTCGCGAAGTGCGCTCGGCCGTCCCGCTCTTGGCCGTGGGGGCTTGATCACCCCAACGGCTCCTCCGGCTGGTGGAGGCAGGAGCCGCCGACAGACTGTAGTCCTTGGTCCCTCCGGAACCATGCGCACGGCTTTCAGAATCCTGCTGTGGGAGCTGCAGATCATGCTGAAAATCGTCGTTGGTTGCAGTACGAGCTAGCGGCAACCGAATTCCCCCATTGTGCACCACCACCGCGGTTCCCTGGGGACCCTCGGTGAAGGAAGCCCTACGGAGAGCAGACACTAACCGAAACACACTCTGTCGTAAGGACGGTTCTAGCTGGTCGAGGAACGGACTCGATACAAGATGTGCAAAACCAAGGTCTGTATAAGAGTCAGGACAGCGGTCACGCACGATGTGTTGGAGGCCAGCCCACGCAAAAAGGGCACTAGTTCGGTCAGCATCATGGAAGGTGATCACATCTGTGGGCGTGGAAAGGGGGCGGGACAGGAACGCTGTGTCTTCTGCGTGAAACCTGTACTCCTCGGCTTCGTCGTCTGACGCGCCGTCGGCATCCCCGGCCGGCCCACCCAGCGTCACAGAAAACTGGGGAGCAGCAGCCACTTCCGGTGCCGCCTGGGGCGTGGGAGGGGGCACGACACGACGACGGGCGGGTCGCGAAATATATCTCCATCTGCAACCTCGCCGTGCTTGATCCATTGAGATGTACACACCAGTGTCAGACAAGAAACGAGCGGATGTATGTGTGGACGAGGAGGGGGCAATGGTGGGACCGATCCAATGTCAACCGGAATCGTTGCCATCATGTATCACACACACACTCATCTATTTTAGCGTGCATGCTACAGGCCATGCAGCCACTTCGTAGTCTACTCTGCACCGCGTCATCGGAGCCTTTGATGGCAATCAAACACCAAACAGGAAGTTCGTTGTGGCCTTCTCTGATCATCGCTCGGACGTACGTGTAGTCGCACAACACCCCAGTCGGTCGTGAAAAATCTCTTAGTCCCCGGTTTCTTCTGACGCGTCCACAGAACTCGTGCCTCTCACAGAGCTTCTGATTCTGCCCCGAGGCTTGGTCTGGGAGTACTACAGGTAGGGCCCGCAGTTGAGAAAAATTCTGTCCAGAAACAACAAGGCTCAACTTCTTGCGAGAAACATGAAAAAAGGGCTAAGCAACACCGCTCGATCTCGGCCACAAGATAAAGAAACGTCCAAAAAGGGAACATGATCGATCGTGCGATACCCCAAGACAAAACGAAAAGGGGGTAGAAGCGGGGGGCGCGCGTCCAATAAGAAACGTCCCACTGCTGCTGCGGCTGCCATGCTCCCACCCCCTACACCTAGCTAACAACAACAGCAGCCTGGAATTTTTTGGTAATTTAGGGGCGGAGAGTGGATATTTTCGCGGCGCCACCCCCGCGCCCCAGCGCCGCCCTGGTGGGCTGCACTACCCACTGCTGCTGTACTGCTGTACTACCACAACCCCCAATGTTCCCCACGCCGAGCTGTTGGTTTAATGCTGCATGAAGGCTTGGTGTGTTGTTGTATTCTTCGCCAGAAATAAGACAACAAGAGCAATCAGCAGAATGCGACAGCCCAAAGAAATAAGAACCGGCAATGCTATTTGCTCTACCGGTGGAGTGCTTACTATTATTTGCTCCACCACTTTTATCGTAAGACTTGGATCAGGCGCATCCCCGCCCACAGAGCTCCAATCAACCTTACACCAATTGCATCGTGTAGGCATGGGCTACAGCTACACTGAAAAGCTGCGAAGCTGAATCAGTGGCTGCGGAGATACGCTGAAAGAAGGGGGAATCCGCAGCATCTCAGGAAGTAGTCATCATCTCGAGCTTCCGTCCACACAGCTCCGGTTGACCCCAAACGTTTTGCATCGTGTTTGCACGGTCCATACCGTTCATGCAAGCCATCGGAAACTCACAATGCGATATGTTCCTGCAGAGGTATGGTCAACAGAGGGGTTCCGCAGCATCTAGGAGGTGGTAAATGTCATTGACTACTGTTTTTCCTCACTACTGTAGTCCCGCTACCTCCCGTCACGGCTGAACTGCGCCTAAATCTGACCGCACCGTTTTGGCACGGCTCACATCTATCATTCAAGCCATCGGGCACCCCAATGGGACCAGTGGGTGCAGAGAAACGCCCACCCACGCGGGCTCATCAGTAACTCAAAGGCCGGTGGAGCGGATAGGCCATATCTGCTCCACCAGGCCAAACTCTATCCAGAGGGCGTCCTGTTGCCCTACGAAGACTTGTATTGTGCCGGCACCGCTCACAGCCATCTATCATGCAAGCCATCGGGCACCCGATCGGATTAGTGGGTGCAGAGAAACGCCTATCCACGGGGGCTTGGGGGCTCAAAGGGCGGCGGAGCAGATTGGCCATATCTGCTCCACAGGCCAAACCCTATTTATAGGGCAAAGCCTATCTACAGGGCGTCGTTTAACCTACGAAGACTTGCATTGTGTTGGCCCACAAAAATCTTACAGGTCATCGAGAACGTCGTTCAGATCGGCAGACGCAGAGAAACGCCCACCCAGGGGGGCTCGACGACTCAGAGGCCGGTGGAGCAGATTGGCCTATATCCGCTCCACTAGGCCAAACTCTATCTCTAGGGCGTCGTTTGCCCTACGAAGATTTGCGTTGTGTTGGCACGGCGCACAACTATCATAAAAGCCATCGACGACGTCGTTTGGATCGGTGGACGCAGAGAAACGCCTATCCAGGTGTCCATCCCCACGGTGGGCGGAGGAGGGGGGGGGGGGCGCTCGTGTTTCGTGGCCCGAGGCAAGCAACATGGACACACCTTACCAATGAATCCAGAGACAAGCATGTCGTGGAGTTGTTCCCACTCATGAAGGCCACCTGTCTATGATCACTTATCGCCCAAGACACTGCGTGATTATGGGTTAGAATAGTCACTTTACAGTGGGATGCGTGTCCCAGACGATCGGCTGTCAGCTCTGTCTCACGTCAACTCGCAACGGACATTCAACTCTTGGTTCTCTTCGTTGAAAAAAACACCGCCACAATATCCGAAACGCTACTCATGCAAACGCAAACGCCAGTGCAGGGCCCAACAAACCCGGGAAACACAAAGATCAAAGCCGCCCGCCGCTCAGTCCGAGCGGGCGGCACAACAGAACACAGTAAGCACGCACGGAAGGTGGTCAAACACCCCGGGCGGTTATTATTACAGCCTTCCATCCAAAGACATCACTATTATCATCTTCGAATACAACCGAGTTGGCAGCGGCCGGGTGAGGGACGGAGGCAACGACTTCCGTCATTTCAGATGGTTGTACGTGCAACAGGGCTTCCACACGGCCTCCTTTCCAACAACACACCGATGCGCGTATCCTTGGCAGTACTACGCAAAGGGATGAACGAAAGCAACGGCCGCCGTGCTACCACACGCCAAAACAAACATGTCAACTTTCTTACCCTTTAGAACAACGCACCAAACACCGTTCGTGCTAAAAAAAACAAAACATTTATCGTGCGCATACAATGAGCTGTTCTCAAGACAGCCCTTCCCCCACCCCTTACACCCCCATGCAACTTCATCAAAACTCTACCCTCACCCGCCACCCAAAAATATCGGCCTTACGCAGCCTCTGGCAAGAAATAAACAAAAACCGAGGACTACAATGCCAACCCAATGACACCAAAAGCGATGCGCCCTTGCTTCCGGTCAGCCGCTCTTGTAGTTGTTGTATTTCCTTCTAGTCAGTGTGTGCCGCTTTCACCTGTTCGTGACGCAAGAGGCACCCGGCAGAAGACAGCGCCACGAAGGCATGCGCACACGGAAACGACTTCAACTATCGCTGAGGAATGCAGTTCGGGAGTGATACGAAACAAGGACATGGACATTCCGACATCCTAGAACGGTGCTGCGCTTCCATGCTGCTTTTCCGTACAACCGACGACCTAACATCACCAAGCGCGAAGCAATGATGGAAGGGTTTCATGGAGGAAGCGCTCTCTACACCGGTAGTATAGCCTTCGCACGTTTGTCGATTAAGTAAACATGTTGGATGAAGCATGCAATCGGGGATTTTGGGCTACGGTTAGGGAAAAGGGTCTGCGTACCCCCTCCCTGTTCTATTTCCTCATACAACCTTACTTTCTCGCGAAAGGCGGTCCTTCTGAACGGGCATCACAGCAGCAAAATCACGCGCCACACCACAGAACACACCTAGTACTTATCCCAGGCAGAATCGCCGCACTTACGTACGTAACCGAGAAGTGGACGCTTTCCCCCAGAATATTTCGGAGGCGGGGACGATAAAACGAGCCGTTACGACGCAAACAACGACACGCCGAGTACCAATACGAAACCACACACAAGGCGTCGGATGCGCGCCACACCACCACACCCTATTCCGACCGTACGTACCATGTCCTTGAAGGCCTTCGACGCTGAGAACGCCGGCGCCGTGGTGGCCTTGATCTTGAGCTCCTCGCCCGTGCGCGGGTTGCGGCCCGTGCGACCCTTTCGCGCGCGTCCCTCGAAAGTCCCGAAGCCCTGCAGGCTGATCTTGTTCCCGTCTGCCCCAACCAATCACAACGGAGGTTGAGTTGTCGCGGGGATGGACGAGTTAACTTGGCGGGCGATAGAAAGAGTGCTGTTGTTGTGTTGCTGTTGAAAAATCACAACAGTGTTGGTTTCGCAAAGAATCACACAACACCGACCAGAAAATACGATACGCAAAATCCATCGACAGATATACATGAGGCCAACAACATGATACTTTTCTTCACTCGCAGGCGAACACAATCATCAAATAAATATAGCCGTCCAAGCACACGCCCCCAAGGCGACCATTCAGTTTAGGATGCACACGAAAAGTCCCCCTGGTTTGGTTTTTGTCCCGAGGACAATGTCCACAGACGCCCACAGCTCCACGGCCGTCGAACCCGACGCTCGTGGATACGGCGTCGGTTGTTGCTTTTCAAATGCCCCAACACACCGTTGAAACGCCCGCCTGCGGGCACAGCTATTTATGTGTGAGGAAAGTTGGAGACACACGATCCTCAACATCCAGCGCCGAAATTCTTGCTTGGATTTTCATGGGCAAATACACCGACCAAATAAGGCGCCGGGAACGATTTCCCTCGAAAATGTAGTATCATGCTGTAAACACCACGACGTTTCTAGAGAAAAAAGTCAAAGGTTGCCCATAACGAGGACCAACCTCCCGGAAACGAACACTACGACAGACGCACCCCAAACGCGCTTAAAAATAGAGTAGCGTCAACCGTTTTCGGTAACCTTTACGCTAGGTGGTAGGTTGTTCAAACTTGTTCGGGTACGAAGGAACACTGGCGGAAAAGGTGTTTGTAGACATCGGCATGGACGGACCATACCAATGTGCCCCCGAACCCCCCCCGGTCGAAACTCGCATCGATTCCCTTCATGCGAACCTGAGAACAAACTCAGGGCTTTCGTTCTTTGTTCCCCTTCAAGTTAAGCCCACGGGGCGAGAACAACACAGGCTTCGCTGACAAGGTCTTCGAGATCAACACGTTACGGTGATCGCATGAGGCATCGAACTCATCAAGCGACGGCCAGCGAGGGGTGGTGTTCCGATTGCCCGACGCAAAAGTTAACCTTTTCGTCCATGCCAAAGTGCCCAAAAGGTATTAATTAGTTCGCGGGGGAGGGGAGGGCGTACTCTTATGTTTTGCATGCCTTAGCGGTTAGACCATTGACCACACGTCCCCGAGAGGACGGAGCATTGTCCCCACTGGACCGATCACCGATGGCCAATCGTTCCTTCCTACTTTGCCAAAGGTGGCTCAAAAATGTCTTCCCTAGTCTATCTATCCTAACGATATCACTCCCCGCCTATTCAAACCACTTCCTACTCCCCAGTACATCTACCGCCCTCTCTTCTCTATTCCATGCCTCAAACATCTCCCAGTACCTCCCTTGTATTTTTCCCAGCTCAGACATGTACACGTCCCTCTCCTTTTCATACAACTGACATTCCGCGACTACATGAACACGGTCTTCGCGTTCGAAGCCGCAATCACGTTTGAACTTGTCGTCTTCGTCGTCTACCGTCCTATGTCTTCGTCGACGTTCTCGAAGGCGTATGTCCCCGGTCCTGAATTTGACCTTAAGCTTTGTCCCTGCATCCATTGGTCCATGTAGGTAATCCTTGAACCCTATTCCTTCTTTCAACATTCCGTACACTTCTAGACCCTCCTTATCCTTGGTTTCTTTCCTTAGATTCTGTTCTTCTCTCTCGGCACAAGCAACAGACATCTTCTCATTGAACCCCTGTAGACCCTCCGTTTCCAGCGTTTCATCTTCGTCGATTCCGAACCCCTTCCATACGTCCTCTACAACCTTGACCCATTCCGTGGGTTGTCTACCCCTCTTTTTGTTTGCCCACTTCGCCTCCCATACTATTCTCAGCAGCCTCTCCTCTCCCATCCCGCACATGCGATACTGCCGTGTCAGCTTCCTTGCGTCTCTTCTCGACCGTAGGGATTGGATCCCCATTTCTGCCCTGACGGCTGCATTACTTGTGCGCTTGGAGCATCCTAGGATGATTTTCGCTGCTCTCATCTGCGCCGCCTCGAGTTCTTTCACTACCTTCTTATTTCCTTCCCATACTTTTCCGGCGTACTCTAGCGGCGGTACGATTACGGGGGGGGGGGGGGGGGGGATCAACCTTCACGGTAAGTCGGGAGGGTTTTTACTCACCGGCGACTTCCTGCATGACGACGTCCGTGAAAGCGGCCAACGCCGCTTCGGCCTGGTTCTTGTCCAGGTTGCTTCGCTCCGCAATCGCCTCGACTACCGCCGGCTTCCTCAAGTTAACCGACGCCTTTCCAGTTAGCGAACGGGCATGTGAAACAGAAAAAACAGGCTCAAGAGTACGTACGTCCAGCAAGTCCAGCAGATTGTCCTACACTTGATGATGATCTCTTGCACGGACTTTGCCGCGTTAAAGACAGTTTATCGCCCGGCTTCAACCAGAAGACTTGCGTGTGTAGCACCAAGAGAATCCAAGAGTGCGGCTTGGAGTGTCCAGGGTGTCACATATGATATGAGCAAGGAAGAGAGGTTGGTGCAGTTTGAGGCTGGCGGGAGAGTAAACGAGCCTCTTAATCTAAACCGCAAGGGGCGGATTCGAATCAACGAAAGCCCCCGGGGGCGTCGGAAAACCATGTAGACATTTCTCTGATTCGGTGCGAACTTCTGAACCAAGATGACATGCATATCGTCCGGCACCTCATGTATGACAAAGTAGTAAATACACCAGCGCCGAGAGAACGACGAAGACCACTTAAATCTGTCCCGAAACTGCCCTGTGATTGTGATGTAAATTTTGAAAAATAAACTTCCTCAGCCGTCGGGTGAGGCGTACCATCGACGGCACATGACGGTAGGCCCGGGATTGCGGTCTTGGAGGGAGAGATGATCCAGAAATGTACCCACACCCTAACAGATGGGCAACAGGAGTCGAGGGACACCGTCTCAAGACGGAAGACAGGGCTCAGCGAGGGGCCGGGTTCCATCAGCCTGAAGCGCATGGCAAATCGCACACATGTTGTAGTCTACGTGCACGCAATGCACACTGCTGTAAGATACCGTACATTGGTGACGTAATGACTCACGCCCCCCTGGATCGATTTTCAAAGCTCGATTACTCCACGATGAGAGGATTCATGTACATACATCAAACGATTCGTTTTCACAAACCTCTCGACGAGATGGTTCCAACGCCGACTGTGGGTATATCTCGCTCAATGGGTAGTCTTTCTGTGTGTGTAATTATTTTTCCTTTAAAGAGGGCACCGCCACTCTCCTATGCTGTGGAGCAATCCAGCTTTGAAAATCGGTCCAGAGGGGGGGTGATATCTTCTATCACCCACGTTACATGTACAGCAGTAAGTAGTAAGGAGCAAGTAGTAAGGAGTGGGGAAGATGAACTCCCGCGCGCTCCACGTCTGGAACAACGGAGATTTGAAAAAAGGAGCGTGATGCCACGATTTCGCCCTCAAAACCAAGGCCTCAAACCATGCAAAAAGCCAGTGATAATTCATTGTTATGTCCACGGCGATTGCCTTTGCACGGGGCTGCCTCTCTACTCACTCTCTATTACTGTCATTTCCCTCTCTCGCCCTCTTTGCCTCTTTCTCTCTCTCTCGAATGATCTATCTATCTTTTCTTCGAGGGGCTACGGCGGGGCTACACATGAAGACATGACGCCAAATCAAAACCCAACGTTATTCGCCGTTGTGTGCCAGTCGTCTCGGGAGTGACGCAGTGCAACAGAGGCAACGTCGTAGGCCAATAAGGTCGACAGCATTACCCAATGGAAGCTGCCGTGCGCATAGCACCCACTCACATCACTGCCTTCGTCGGAGGCTGCAGCCTTCAGGGAGGTCGAGGCCACTCCCCTCCTCACGATGTTGTTGTTGCTGCGCGCCGCAACCGAGACGCAGTTGGAGAGGACCAGCCCTCCCGTGGGACCAACGAAGCCTTGTCCGGACTGAGCCCGGAACGCGAGAGCAAGAAGCAGAGAGCACTTCATCGTTGATGCTGCTGTTGTTCTCGTTGGAGGTACGCCACAGAGAGAGCAAGAGAGAGGCTGTGCTGTGCTGTGAGTTCCAACAGCGCCATTTTGCAAAGCGCGGAGTTCCAAACTGAGGGGAACGGATTCGTCAAAATCTGAAACCGTCGTTGCATTTTTTGTGTTTTTATTCCGTTTCGACGTACTGCTTTAGAATCAGCCCGCCCTTTTCATGAAGGATTCTTTGGTTGTTGTTGCGTTCTGATTCTTCCGGTGGGCCGCCATACGCGGAAACGGGTGGAAAGTGGAAAGCCTCGGCCCAGGCCTCTGGCGAAAAAAACTTCTTCCCTTGTAAAGCACAGCATGCCCATCTCGGGTTGCGGTTCTCTGCAACCAGCAAGATAGACAGATGGGGCTGAGAGCAAACGAAAGGGTTCGTTCGACACTCATGTTCCTATCCGCACGTTCGCTGTCGCAGACAAGACACAAGAATTCCCGTCAATAGTAACAGCAGTCTCAAGATTCTGACTTGGCGTTAAAATCAAATTCACAAGAATTGAAGCTAACTGTTGAGAGGCGTCAAGTAGCAGTCAGCCCGCTGTCCCTATACTGCTGTGTTGGGTCCGAGATACTAGGAGAAGCGTGGCGGCAAGATGGAAGACCCCGACATTTTCGGCGACATCAGCCGGATGCACCAAAAGCAAATCACGATTCACGCTGGGGACGAGGGTCTGGCGGAGACGGGACGCGTCTTGTATGTGGAGCCAGACTGGACGACGGACGATCTGCTGCAGGCCGCGGGCAGGCGGCTAGACCTGGTCTCGACCCCGAAGAGGATGTTCAATTGCAATGGTGAGGGCGTGAACCTTTGTGAATGTATTGTAGTCTAGTGCCTGCACGGAGACGTGTTGCAGACGTCTGTTGGTTCTACCTCCTTGATTCACCACGAAGTAATGTGATTCAGATGCTGCTCCTAACTGTACAAAATATTTCGCAGTTTGACTGTGGACTACTGAAACATACCCACAGAAGGGAAGGGGCCCAGCTGCAACCCCCTTATGGTGCGACCGTGTGCATAACATCAACGCTAGAGGCGCTGGGGGGTTATAAGCCTACGTGATCTTCATCTGCCAACATCTATCCATTCCTGCTTTTGAGGAACAGGATCAGATTCGAGCGTCTACAATGGTAGGAACATGTTTATCGTTGAGGATGCCCCGTCTCCTGCATAACATGTGTTTGATTAAAACCAGGTTGACTCGCTGCCGCTGAGATGATCACGTTATAATCGTTCCTTAGCAGAGCTTTACTGAGGGTCTGGCCTCCTGGCCCAATAGACTGTTCCGTTCCAAGTCACACAGGAATCCTCTCCCTACCCCTGAAACACATGGTATTGGTTGTGAGTACAGCAGAGGTGGATGTAGCGTCAAGTTGTCTACATAGGCAAGTGTCCCCTGTGGTCATGGGCACAGTATTGAAGCAAGAGCACGGTGACGGTGAAGGGACATTGTAACTTTAAGGTGTGCGTGTGCGTGACACGCAATCCAATGGGCTAGGCGGACAACGGCAACAACTGACGTATCTACTTGAAAGAGTATGGACAAGTTCCTTATTTGAGGAAGCCGTGCATATGATGAGAACGTTTCGGGTCTAAACGTACTACCCCTGTCCGTGACATGAGTTGGCTGTAGTTTTTCACAGACTGGTAGGTACCCCAGGTGCTGGGAGGTAGGGCAAGCCAGGAATTTTGAATTTTCTACGTAGAGCGGAATTTGCTTTTCGTGCTTTAACGATTACAATTGGTTATATCTTCCCGTTGCCGATGCAGCATGCTGCAGTTGCTCTCTACGGTCGCAAATGCTGCTAAACACCCGCCAATGTTCCGCGAGAGAAACAAGTTGTGACGAACGCGTGTCCAAATCGTACATTTTCTTCATCGAACCAACCCTATCAAGGCATGGAGGTGGCCGACGTTATGATGATCGAAGATCGCGAGGTGATATTCTTCACGCAGGGAGGGGACTACGTGGCGCCGCTCTTGGCAGACGGGGACGATGCGGACGGCGGCGGCTCAACCTCCGGTCTGCCTGCGGTGGTCGGTGCCTACAAGGTACTCCGTTCGAGTGATTGACCATATCGCAGACAATACACATCACATCTGGGCTTGTTTCCGAGCACTGGAAAGCCTGTTTGGCAAACGCTGCCGGCCAGCACCTGGGGTACCTACCAGTCTGTGAAAAACTACAAGCAACTCATGTCACGGAAGGGGTAGTACGTTTAGACCCGAAACGTTCTCATCACATGCACGACCTCCTGAACTAAGGAACTTGTCCATACTCTTTCAAGTAGATACGTCAGTTGTTGCCGTTGTCCGCCTAGCCCATGGGATTGCGTGTCACGCACTCGCGCACCTTAAAGTTACCAATGTCCCTTCACCGTCACCGTGCTCTTGCTTCAATACCGTACATGACCACAAGGGGGACACTTGCCTCGACAACTTCACTGTACATCCAAAGCCTTACATATATGCCATTGTGCTTGTCGCCGCGCGCTCAACGACCAGGTGAACGAGTTTCTGGGCAAGGGCGGCTTCGGGGAGGTAAGGGTCGGCGAGCACCAGCTCACAGGGGAGCGGGTAGCGCTGAAATTCTTGAGGAAGAGCGCCATCGCGGACATGGGGGCGGCGGAGCGGACCACCACCGAGATTCAGTGTGAGAAGCCATAGAACAGGGAGGTGTTGTGCCTTTAGGGTGCTTTCGACACTCAGTCGTAGAATGAGCGGTGACCTGTAGTAGTCGGTTGGGTGGCAGCGTCGGCTTAGTCTTGGTCCTGTTTTGGTGTAGAGAATGAAGGCACCCGGAAGGGTGAACTGAGGAAGCGAGCGACCCCGTGGATCCGTTTGGACGCAGTAACTACTCGCCGTACACCGGGGACAGGGGGCGTGCGTCGACGAGCCCGAGACTTGTGCTGTTCCTCGCCGAGCGTGATTTGTTCGTGGGACCTAGCTCGCTCCCCTCTTGACCATAACTGTCTTCTAAACAACGCACCGAGGCCACAGCCGCATTGCATGTACTCCCCCATTTCAGTCCCCTGCCAAGCACGAAGTCAACGACAGCCATAATTCTCATAGAGGCCTATTTCATGCAAGAAATCCGACGAATTCTGCTAGGAGAGTGGAGTTCTGCAAGCTTCGTCGATTGTGATATCCTTACACGCTCCGTGCACCCTTTGTTTGCTTTCCCTGTACACTCTCTTGCCTGCCAGGTCTCACGGCGCTGAAGCACCCGAACATCATACGCCTCGTGCAGCACATCAACTCCTCGCAGAACGTCATCATGGTGTTTGAGCTGGCGGAAGGGGGTGACCTTTACCAGTTCCTGTGTGGGGCGCCCGGGCAGCGTGTGGACGAGGAGGAAGGGAGGGCGGTCTTCCGGCAGGTTGGATTATTGCACATTCGTCTGCTGCTGCTGTCAAACTGCTACGAATGCATGCTAGATTAAGCCGTTTTCGTGGAAGCCACCCAGCCGGACAGTCTTGATTCACGCCTTTTCTCAGCATTTTCCCCCTCATTCAATGCTGTCATTGCTCGAAGGATTGCTTCGCTGGACAACTTACTCGTTTCACCAGCGCCGGCCCTTCTTTGGCGGGTTGATCTTGCGCATGGCGGTCAACGGCTCACGGCCCTGCTCTTGCTTGCCCCTCTCCGCACCACTGATGCACCGTCCCAGATCGTTAGCGGGGTGGGGTACGCGCACAACCAGCACATCTGCCACCGCGACATGAAGCTGGACAATGTCTTGCTTTCTCGCCCGGGCTGTCTGAAAGAGGTGAAACTCGCTGACTTCGGGCTCAGCGACTTCTACCGCCCCGGAGCGACGATGCGCACCAACTGCGGGTCGATTTCCTACCTCGCGCCTGAGGTAAGACTTTGGGCCAAAAGGGGGTGGGTGACCTGGCACAAGATGCAAGGTTTCATCGCATGGTTTCGCATTCCTTTTCTCTGCTCCCGGCAATGAGGGTTTTGTGACAGTTGGGGAATGCCGGGTGTAGATGGGCATGGTTATTGTGCCGCGTTCTCAGTGCCCTTGTGGAAGAAAACACATGCAACATACGTATTTTCTGAACCTTGTATGTGTTTGTCAGCTTCACGGTGTTTGTCGCCCTTCTTGCAGATATTCCAAGCTTCCTTGCGATGAACCTACTTCACGACAACCCACAATTTGCGCTTCCGGAACGCTGCGCGCCACCATCTTATCTGAAGCAATGCTATTCGGCACCGGCGACAGTATGCCGTACGTGGCTCGATTTTAGCACGCGTCCATCACAACGCCTTCATGAAACGCTGTTGGCGTGATGGACCGGAATGCGTGGGCCAATATGCGGAATCTGTACAGCAGTACTGTCATGAGATTGCATCTACCAAGGGGACGATGAATAAACAGCATTCGGGAAAGCTAACGAAACTTCGGAACACGAAATGGCAGGTGTTTCGGGGAACGTCGAACGCCGGGCCTCCCCTAGACGTGTGGTCCATCGGGGTGATTCTGTTCGCGTTGTTGTGCGGGCGCCTGCCCTTTGAGGGGAGCGATTTGCAGGTAAGTTTCCTTCTAGGGAAGGCGTTTTAAAAACGACCGCATTCACTCGCGGTAGAAGCTCGAAGAAAAGTGTCGTTCGAAACGCGTCGAGACAAACAGCTGCTCCTGAGTTGCAGTGAACCCCTCCGGTCGGGCTCTCTCGCTACCCTTTGCTGCATTCCGGCCAGCAGGGCACGAACCGACCACGAGAAGCAGCCATCCGGCGCCGGATCATGGAGTGTCGATACAAGCCTGTGGAGTCTCTTTCGCCAGAGGCTAAGGTGGGGTGTGCTCGCTTTTCCCACAGCTAGCTTTGCCTCGTCGAAAATTTCGCTTCCGGGGCGTTCGCTCGGACCTCGGCGGGAGAGCTGTCCTCTCATGATTCGGTACACTATCACGGTTAGGCGGCGAGAGGAACGAGGGGCAAAACAATATTTCAGGCAAAGGTACACTTTCGACGCAGGTCGCTGTGTGGAGTTCGGGTGGTTGCGGAGTTTGGTGGCAAGGAAGTATAGGACATCAGGTGAAGATCGAGTTTTCAGCCGTCATTTTCCGTGAATGTACTCGTTCGTTTCAGCCGACGGTTTCACGAGACTGCAGAGGTTGGGGGGAATGGGGAGAGGGGGGGGGGGGGGCGGTGTACTCATAGTCGTGCATGCCGTAGTCGTTAGACCATTGACCTCGCATCCCTACAAAGCCGGGACGGAGCACGCCGGGTTCTCACCAGACCAGGCTCTCACATCACCAAGCGCGAAGAGCCGTGAGGTATTTGGCGAGTCGCATGAAGGGTGAGCTGCATCCTGCTAAGGGTGTTCGGCATCTTGCGCTTACTTCCTTGCGTACGGATAACAGCTGCGTATGACGTAATTTATTTTCTGGTGCTTTCACTTCCAGAGACAGTTACATTGTATAAGCACTGTGTAACTGCCTCGAGGGTGCTTGACCATTTTAACACAACGTGGTGCGATCATCCCCCGTTGCGCGGAGTGAGGGTTCTCGACCCAGCACAACATGATCTTCTCGACCATCATTATGGTTACCGCCAAAAAAAAAAACAGAGTTAAAAAAAAAGCGGTAACCTGGTTGCCGAGTTCACGAAGTGAATTGGCTTGTTTTACAACGTCGTTGCCAAGCGACGAAAACCCAACCCCGATGGCAAACACCGGGATGGGGGGGGAGGGGGGGGGGGT